CAAGAATTAGAAGGAAAACAATTAACATATTTGGCTAGGCAGAAAGCTGATGAAGCCAGAGAGTAGACAAAGGACAGGCTGATGAAGCCAGAGAGTAGACCGAAGCCATCCACATCAAACGCCAAAAGCCCACCATCAACAGAGACCAAGGATACTTCATTCCATCCGCTTATGATGCACTCATCCACCAAGCCCAATCTACTGTATAAACATCTCATTATTATTTGTACATCATTGGCTTCCACGCCTGTCCTTTGTCTACTCTCTGGCTTCATCAGCTTTCTGCCTAGCCAATTATGTTAATTATGTTGTTTTCTTTGTTACATTGTTACATCCAGTATATATACACTTCCCCCTTCTTCATGTTCCATTATGCTTGACAACGGTACAAGAATCTGTATCGAAACGTCGCACTCACGAATAAAAAGAAGTTGTTATCCATAAAGTTTGTTCTATATTTTACTTCCCAACTTCTAAAATGCAACTCAAAGAAGGAAAACAATTGTTAACAAAAATCGTGTGTAAGCCCAGGCTTTTTTTTAATGGTAACTGCACCCCTGGGTGTGTGGTGCAATGCCACCCCAGTTCAAAAGACCAATTGCTTTTCTATTTTATACTGCCGTTGTAATTGTGCTTCTACTGACTTAGCTATAGTATACAGTGAAATAGGTACTTGAGTGGGCGAGTGAGTGAGTATGGTTTTACACCGCTTTTAGCAATATTCCAGAAATATCGTGGCGGAGGACACCAGAAATGGGCTTCGAAAATTGTATCCATGTGGGGAATCGAACCCGGGTCTTCAGTGTGACGAGCTGTAACGATCAGGCTAACCCATTGCCCCTATACATTGTTGAAACTGTAGCGGTATACTGAACTATGTTGTAGAGTTTCATTACCATATCCACTGTGTTGGGATCATCATATCCCTGATGTGACCGACAGCATACACCATGAACCCTCCACATGTATCCTTCGCGGGACACACAGTACCCTGGTACAGACTTGATACAGAATATATGATGTATGTCATCGGTGATTTATATGATCTATTTGATCTATGTGATCAATATGATCAATATGATCCATATAATCTATGTGATCCTTATGATCTATATGATCTTAATTTTCCTTGGCTCTCATGACAAGCATGGGACACCCACGACTATTCCCGCCCTTGTATCAACATGTTGACTATATATAGCAACAAATAACATCAACTGAGCGCAAACAAAACATATTCTTGTTTATTGTTTATAATAAATCAGCCTACAAGAATAGGCTAAACGATAGGCACACACGTCCTTCTCATTGAAATATTCACCAGAATACTGTGCCATATAGAATTATATATACCAACAACCTGAGTACATATTCAATATTGAGGTCAGAGTAAGGGCAGCAGGGTTATCCCACCATATCACTTGGCCTACAGGAATCGGAATTCTAAAATAACAATTAATTACAATAAAAACCCTGGTCATGAACAAGTGTGTTTGTTGTCTCAGGTATTCATAGGGGGATGTTTTAGAGCCTAAAATCTAGAACATTAAATGATTAATTACTTCAAGAAGACAGTCACATTCTAGTCATGGTATTGAGGATATTTATGTCATATTCTTTATCAGTCATCAATATTGTGTCAAAACTTTCCCATAAAGAACTGGCCTTAATCTATTATAACCCATCCATATGAGTCGTGTCACCTATAGGACTGCATGGTATTACCGGTATACAACCAGTATATTGCAATATGCTTTTCAAACGATACATACTGCAATATTTTTTCTGAGAACCAGTATATTAAAAAACATATATGAAGTTTTTGTGATTATCTTTATGGTTTAAATTAAAATCTACCCAGACTTTCATTCACAACAAATGTATTCCTTCATTATTCAATGACAAAACTGTAATATACTGAACAACATTAGAAACGCACCACCCATATAATACGAAATATCCCAGTCAGACTGAAATGTACCCATGATATCTGAGCATCATCAGTGCATTTTAGTGTGGTGCGTTTCTAATGTTGTTCAGTATACTATGAGTTGTATAAAAAAGAAAACGGAATCCCTTACTACCCAACCTAATATTAACATTGCTTAAATCAAAGCAATAACGTATATGTTTAGGGACTTAGAATGTAGAAAATAGGACTGACATGCACAGTTAGTGTCACTCACTGTCAAACACTTAATTTCCCAATATATCTCAATAGGTATCGCAATACAGGTACCTGAATCGGAATATATTGAAATACAATTTATTTGCCAATACCCAGCCCAAGTCACCAAATACATATTTCATAATGTCCCTGGACCATCACCAACCATATCAAAGTGGTTAACTGTAAATATCAAAATACACAATCTTCCTTCTTCTCCCAGAATAAAAACAATACCATGTCACCATATCTGTTCCTCCTCCACTATCAACAGTATTAAGTTATTTTCTGCTAATACCCTGGACCAAATCCATGCCATTGCTTCATATTTAAATGACACAATGCTAAAATTTGCCATTCTACCACACATCACTGAAGTGACACCTTGTATAAGTTCCTGATCAGAACTTGTGAATGATATGTCCATTCTCAAATGGTAAATACAGCACAGATATAACAAACTTGAAAATATAAAATGCATAGCAAATATAAAACATAAATATTTATGAAGATCATTATCTATCTGCATAGGTAGTACAAAATCCACCAACATAATGAACAAACAAGTGAGATTATTTCATGGCAAGTAACAAAAATGTCACAATCCTAACCATACATAAAAAAAATCCAAAACATATTCCTAAGCTGAGAACATCAGACATTCAAAATGTTTATCAAATATTAACATCTACATATGAAAACACAAGTTTCCTGTCATAGTGAGTGAGTGAGTGAGTGATTGAGTGAGTTTAATGCTGCTTTAAGCACTATTCCAGTTCTATGGTGACATGTCAGCTTACTGCAGAGGAAACAGCCTTTGATGTCCCTACAGAGGCACAGGTATAGGGCTGACAAACCTACAAATATAATCAAAACAACCAAGGATTCAAATCCTCAATCACTGAATTCTGCATTGCTCAAAGAAAGCACACTGACAGTCAAATGAGGCACCTCAGATGGCTTGGCCTACCTTGTTCTCATGCCATGTCACCTGGGGTTGTTAACAGAGGCACAATGACAGGGAAATATAAGCAGCTGATGCTATCTGTCGAAAGCATTCAACATCATAAAGTAATAAAAGACAGATTTAAGGTGAGCAGCTTTATATTCTGCATGTCAATTGCACTGAAAATGTACTCTTTAAAACTTGCACCAGGAATTTAAACCGGAAAAAACATCACTTTATATATTGAGAGAATATACCAGTTTCCCATACTGCATATCCCCAAGCATGGATTTGGAATATGTTGAGGACATAAGGAAATGAATTAGGGCGGAGTTGAGGTCAGCACCACTTTGACCAGGATTTCATTTCTATTGCTACACAAGCTTTATATTGGAGCAAAGCCAAAAACAGAATAATAGGCATCAAGATTATTGGTAAAATTGATGACCACAGGCAGGGTTCTCACAAACCAAGGATCAAAATCAATGAAAATGTGAAACTTGAGAGCAATGGTCACAGGCTCCTGGAACACCAAAGGGATGCAATCCCGAATGTTTTAAATGTAGAATTATTAGATAAGACTGAGTTGCTCCAGTTTTTGCAACAATCAAACTGAATTGATCAAAAGTTCTATGAGGACATGCACAGTTAATATGTCATAGATAAATTAATTTTAAACCAGACCCCCTGTATTCCACATTTCACAAATAAAAGCTTTGTTATGAGGAGGTAATAACATTTAATAATATCAAACAAAACATTTCCGATTTCTTTTAGCGCTTCGTCTGGATGTATCACAATATGATCAGTAGGAGTTAAGGTTATCATGCTGGCCTTCAGTTTCATGTTCTGCATGAAAACATTTCTGTGACAAACAACAGAATATGTTAACAATATTTTAGGATCTGCAGAATATGTTTAGGAGATCAGAATCTGAACATATTTAGTACTAAATTTTGCCACTGGTGAAAATGTGTGGAGGAAAATGACACTTTCACAGATCAAATCGGTTTGGAATAATTCCCATTTATCTGAGACTATGGCACCTTCCTTTCCGATTTCTGGTCAGTCAGAAGACCTCGTCATGCAACTGGCCAGGTCATATCGTCGTCAGGGAGACGGACCGAGAACATCAACTGCGTCATAAACCAATGTGAATCTGGATGGGTGGCAGCAGTTGTTAGCCATCTCACACACATGACCTCTTATGATAGCTTCATTAGTCTTAGTAGTTCCTGGAATGTGGAGAATGTTGAAAAGTGAGCTGAATAACATCATAACCCCCCAAACAATCAAACAACAGACTTTTCTGCATCGGGATGTAGAATAGCCTCTTGGTTAGAACATTCACTCACCTAGAGAACCAGGTTGGATTCCCCTCAGGAGTGCAGGGTGTAAAGTTCCACACAACGAAACCTAAAAGTGTTTGGTATTTGCAAAACACAAATTGCAGCTGTTTCCATGTTTCCATCGTGATAGACAGATGATCCCCACTCGTACTGTTACAAATAGGCGTCTAAACTCAGGAATTCAACATTTCCAGAATTTAAGTTACTTTAGGGGACAGGGCTTGCTCACAAATGTTATAGAATTACATTTATCTCTCATACATACATACATATACTTGTTTAGCGCCAATATCCGTAAACCGCTCAAAGGTGCTTTGGCTCTAAGATGGTATTGATATCAAATAGAGTTCAGATGCTTCAGCAAAGAGACAAGTCAAGATTTGATTTAAAAACAGCTAAATCTGGTTGTGTTCTGAGGTGAGATGGAAGACTGAGATCATCAGACTCTGAAGTGGTCCCAAAGTCTTGAAAAAAAGAAACATCATGAAAAACTAAATATTCTGGACTTGATGAAACTGTCCCAAGTTTCCATCATTACCGTTGTGAGTCTGTAAGAATCCTTCTGCAATTTTTCGATGACATCAAAATGATCTGTGTCGCTGACATCCATATACCTCGTCTTCACCTTTCTGGCAGACAGCTCCTGGAACATGTGAACCAGGGACACATATCCAAAACAGTCAGTAGTTTTCTTGTCGTCACTAACAGCCTTATTCGGATAGTGGTAGACTGAGAGAATGAATGGTTTATTCTCATGAAGATCACACAATAGTGACATAGAGAAAAATACAAATGTACAGATTTGTTTCATGGGAGCATACGTAGTCCGGTTTTCACATAGTTGCTTATTTTAACAATAGTGCTTTATGCGTACAAGACATGAGGGATATAAATTTATCTAATGAAGGATAATTACAATAATAGCTTGGTAGGAATGAATTTCTTACATTACTTAAACATGGACAATATAACATGAAGTGAAGTTCATCTCCTATTGTGTTCTTACACAGTGTACATAATCTTTCTTCTTTAATAATATTATACCATCTACCTGTTTCTATTGAAAGTTGATGGTTACAAGTTCTAATATAGGTAAGCCAAATGCGTACATTTAATGGGAGGTGTAATAGATAACTTTCAAGGTATGAGAGAGAGACTTAAAACTGTTGTCATTACAATATTGTGGTGAACCAGAGAGTGACTGACATAACGAGCAACAGACCCAGTCACCCGCACAGTCTGTCAGCATACACAACAATCTTAATGACCTCATGTACATTTCTGTTGGAGAAGAGTGACAGAGTTGCATCCCTGATTATCACTCTTGGCCTACTCTGTCGGCCCACTGACACCCTGGCCCTCCAGATTTACTAAAGAAGAGCCTTCGCCCTTAACCTCCATTTTACAACCATTATCCTCCACCCTTCACCACACGACATCATTGGCGGATCCAGAGGGGGGGTTCAGGGCCCACTGACACCCTGGCCCTCCAGATTTACTAAAGAAGAGCCTTCGCCCTTAACCTCCATTTTACAACCATTATCCTCCACCCTTCACCACACGACATCATTGGCCCGGATCCAGAGGGGGTTCAGGGCCCACTGACACCCTGGCCCTCCAGATTTACTGAAGAAGAGCCTTCGCCCTTAACCTTAATCCTCCATTTTACAACCATCCAGAGGGGAAGTTCAGGGCTTCCTAAACAGCCTTCACCACTTAACCTCCATTTTACAACCATTATCCTCATTCACCACACGACATCAGAGGGATCCAGAGGGGGGTTCAGGGCCCACTGACACCATGGCCCTCCAGATTCACTAAAGAACAGCCTTCACCCTTAACCTCCATTTTACAACCATTATCCTCCAACCTTCACCACACGACATCATTGACTTCATTGGCGGATCCAGAGGGGAGGGGGGTTCAGGGCCCACTGACACCCTGGCCCTCCAGATTCACTAAAGAACAACCTTCACCCTTAACCTCCATTTTATAACCATTATCCTCCAACCTTCACCACACGACGACTTCATTGGCCATTATCCTCCAACCTTCACCACACTCCACTTCATTGGCGGATCCAGAGGGGGTTCAGGCACCACTGATCTAAAGAACAGAGGGGGAGTTCAGGGTTTGAACCCCCTTTTAAGATGACTTAAGACCACTTTGAAGAATTTTTACCACCTTTCAAAATTGCTGGATCCGCCCATGCGACTTTTGTACCTGATTGTTTATCTCTATATTGATAGCCACAACAAGCTACTAGTATAGTTTGTGTTAAAAGTATGAATATAATTTCCTACTTTTCCAAATCAGCACTTTGTCTGCGGAACTCTGGTGGGTCGTATTCTGCTACAGCAATGAGGATGTCGCGCTGCTGACTGAGGCCAGCAATCTCGGCGATGAAGTTGGCAGGACTGAACCGCCATGCATCCTCCCTATAGAGGCAAGTTGAGGCAGTGACAGCAACAGCAACAACAACAACAGCAACAACAACAACAGCAACAAACACAAACATGTCACAAAAATAATAATATATTGAGTGCCACAAACGTGTTAAGCCAATGGATATACCAGTTAAATAACTGACATGACTTGTGGAGTCCGATATCATGCTGTTATTTTGTATAGACTGCACATTACAAAACAGCTATAACATGGTAACACTGAAAGCAAGACACAGGTGTAAAAACAGACACAGACACAGAGTGAAACATACAGACAGTCCCTAAAATCATCAGACAATCCATGAAATCTACAGACTCTATCACAGACTCACACAAACACACAGCATGAACAAAAACAAAGTTGAGCTTCAAATACTGACATACTCATTCAGTTTCAGCGGGTCATTGACGTATGTTTTCGTCAGAGGCCGGAGGTCATACACTCCACTGATTAGAGCCGCACCTGGAATCAAACAAAATATCACACATTACCTTTCGAATCAAACATACTGAGGGAAACAAATAAGGGAACACAACTTCATAGCAGTGTTCCTTTATTTATTCTCAGATTTCCTCTACTATTCAAAGCTGGTGATGAAAACTGGAAAATATAAAGGAACACTTGAATTTTCCTGTGTTCCTTTATTTGTTTCTCTCAGTATATTACTCTGTACTATAGACCTATAGACTATATACTATTACCATAGACCTTCGACCTTCAGGTCATTATTGCCAAATATGGCAGTGAGGAAAGTTAATTAGTTTGTATTGTCAAAAGGGGAACACATACAAATATGTCCATAAGATACAAGCTAAACTTGTTGATCATGACCAGTAACTTTCAAATGCTGTATCCTCAAGACTAGTTTCAAATATTACATAAATTCTTATTGCGTTTATGTGAAATAGACATGTGTCACATTGTTACAATTTATTAAGATGAGATCTTTTGCTCCAGTCCAACACTATATGATACCTCTACAGAAGGTGGTGTCTGGCCAACACAAGTCACCTCTGTACTGCTTTCTAAGTCAGCCTTTAATTGTGATTTGGAAATAATAGAAATTTTGAATAAAGAATCCCTGCATAGAACACAATTAATCCCTTGACTGTACTCGTTTTTGGGTGTTGATGTCCAAGTGTCAAGATATAACAAGGTGATTAAAATATCAAAAAATGACATACTGTATTACACTGTGGCATGATTTTGTTAAATCAGATATGTGCAAGTATGAATGCTTAGCTAACTCTTACCCAGAATTTCTAAAGCCCTGACAGAGATTATTAGATAGGAAAGTTGGCGCAACCTTCTACCATTTTATATAAAGTTAGCATATAATTTAATCTATAATCTAATTTATATTAACAAACTATCTCTAATAATCACATTCTGCAAATAGAACCTATATAATATGATCAGATAAGTAAATATTCAATGTGCCCCCCCAAGCTGAATTCATTTACCTTAGCAGGGGCTAATTGAAGGAAATGAAACCACCTGCAGTAATAAGCCTGTTGCACCACACTAAAACAAGGTGCACCTGCAGCTCAATAATAAATTATACATAATGCTTCAGTTTTAGTAATGATGACTCAGACTGACTGAGTTAAGTTTTACGCCGCTTTTAGCAATACTCCAGCAATATCACGGCGGGGGACACCAGAAATGGGCTTCACACATTGTACCCATGTGGGGAATCGAACCCGGGTCTACGGCGTGATGAGCCAACGCTCTAACCACTAGGCTATCCACTGCCCCGATGACTCAGAACATCATCATAACAAAATTGTTCCAGGCATGATATGATCATTATATTTTACTTCATAAGATGCTGACATGAACAGTAACAGTTATTCAGTCGCTGTCCTTGAGCTCATCAGAGTCATTGCGCCAAACCAGTTCCTCATCATTCTGTCTTCCAGCAGAAGTCGGTGTTCTTTGAACACAAAATATTAACATACACTGAGTGCAAGTTGGTATAAATATGAGATACTGTAAACGTTTATATTTCGCGCAGGTTTTATTTTCGCGCTTTTTGCTCAAAACATTTTAGCGCGAAAATATATACACCGCGAATAAACCAGTCATTCATTCTGTCTAGCCACGCTCGCCCCTGAGTTGTTACCATAACACATCAAATTTGAAGACAGAAATCTACGGGAATCTTAAAATAACGACTGATAGTAGCATAAAGAATAATACTTAACTGTCGCTGTAATGGAATTCCCAAAACATAATTAAATAATGAGCCAAATCCCATCGCCGAATTAGCGAAAACAGCAATGTGTGTTGTGGCTGGCCGCCATGGAAATTGGTCACATGACAGATGGTTTGATACAAAACAGATTACCATGAAACGACTCGGAAAGAAATAATACAGCAGTATTTTATTTATTCATTAAGATTTTATTTACCAGTACAATATGAAGCGAATAGTCACTTAACACTCAATCATCTCATTCACAACAACCCGGCTTGTTTGAAATCACAAAGAGCTTCATATACAGTAGAAGTTAATTCGTCAGATCGTCAGAATTCGGAACATAAGACTGATGTGTTTTTCATCTCTTCCGTGAGTAACGGATTACTGTGTACTGGTATATCACACAGATAGGGATTTCCTGTGAGTAAGCAATAAACGCCGCCTGACAGGTTAAGCAACTCTGTTTGTTTTCACTGCTATTAGTGGCGGCCAAAGAGACAGCTGGCAGTTCCGGCAATTACTGATTGTGCGAATAATTGACCGCGCGATGTAGTCTAAACTGTCAATTCCGCGAAAATTGCACCACGCGAAAATAAGTACGTTTACAGTATATCAGATTGCACATTGCAGTTTCAGGTTGCACCAGTGCAAGTTCTAAATGCTTAAGTTGAGCGCAGCCAGTAATAAACTGTTTGGTCTGACCTTTGATCATCTCGCTGTCGAAGGCGTCGTCTTCAGCGAACTCACAAGCCAGCATCATGGCCGCCAGGTGACCCCCAGCTGAGTGGCCACACAGGTAGATACCCCTGTAACCATAGCAACATAGAGCATAGCATGTTATCTCCACCTCTTAAATTTTAGAGATCACTACGATTACCTTCACACTAGAACTGATTATACATGTAGTAGTACTGTCTATATGTTGTGAGTGAGTGAGTGAGTGAGTGAGTGAGTGACACTGCTTTTGTCAGGTTCATGGCATGACAGCTTGACATTTACTACTTAAAGGCACAATGTCACACATTTTGACAATATTTTGGCCTATATTATATATATTGGGGTATATGCACTCACTTTACCTTCCAAATGATGCAAAAAAAAAGCTGTATTATACGACATGCCTAAAATTGATAATTTAAACTTTGAGGCGAAAAGCTTCCAAACAGGGAACACTTGCCATATATGGAATGTAAACAATTGCTCCATACATCGAAAACTGTCGCACGAGGTGTTGTCGGTGTTTGCCGAACTGGTTCCAATCACAAGTTGTGCGCAGGATATTTGTAAAGAGCGCTCCAAGGGACATAACTGTATGGGGTTCACTTGAAATAATGTATGGTTGGTAGAGTGTGTGAGAGTCAATATGACTTAATTCATTCGAACATTTTAATTTAACATTGTAATCTAGATACGTATTTTGTGGGGGAATAAATTATATGGCAGCTTCCCTGAGGGCAGGTGGTTAGTATTATTGAGAGAAATGTATTATTTATTTTTAGAGACATGTGGTGTGATATAGTGCCTGTAAGTGAAACCCATGAGTAGTGTGTGGTGCCAACAAACCGAGCCTGTCAGAGTTTGAACCCAAGGTAGTCAGACAATAAGTTTATGGATTGACCCTTTCCAACCCATAATCCCTACAAAGTTTGTTTGTTTGATGTGTAACGCTGCATTCAGCTATATTCCAGCTATATGACGGCGGTCTGTAAATAATCTGGATCAAACAATCTAGTGATCAACATCATGAGCATCGATCTATGCAATAGGGATACAGAGCTGTCAACCCCTAAAGATGGTTTGGAGTGAGACTGAAAAAAATAAGCCGGGGTCCAGCTGGGGTCCAGCCGGGGTCATGTCGAGGGCAACGCCCTGGTGGGGGGTCTCTGGGGGGGCAAAGCCCCCGAAATGAAGTTTAGTGATTTTCAGGAGCATTTGGAGCCTTCTGGTGGCATTATTTGGACACTAAAAGATGCATGCTAATAAATAATAATAAGCCGAATCATTCGCATAAACATCGTTTTATTACTTCGTTCATTCAGGCGTTCTTTCAATGTTAAACTTTACGCAAAAACGAACGAAAATGCGTATTAATTTTGAAATTATTTTTGGCTACCAGATATGCGTGAGATTATTATTTGGAGGCGTGAGAGCGTGACATTTGTCAATAAAGCGTGAGACTCACGCCAAATGCGTGAGAGTTGACAGGTATGGGGATACGATGACATGTGTCAACCAAGTCAGCGAGCCTGACCACCTGATGCCGTTAGTCGCCTCTTACAACAAGCATGGGTTAATGAAAAACAATTCTAACCCAGACCTTCATAGGTTGTATTATGTACAAGGTGAGACTCTTATAATATATTCTGTCTGTCTGTCTGTCTGTCTGTCTGTCTGCAGACCAGTATATATCATGTAAAAAGGTGCTGCTTATTTATCCTTAAGATATTGGTTACTGAAGATCAGTTCTAACCCGGATCTTCACTGGTCAGTCCCTACAGATGAGTTGATAAGCTAAGTCACATGTATATAAGGATAAGCATGACTGGGAAGCTGCACCAACCTGGACTGACGCTCCTTGGCATATCTCAGTATGTACCTCATTGCTTGCTTAATTTCACTCACAATTTTGTCCATGGAAGCTGAAAGAAAACACTCCCATTAAAGAACTAGAGTAATGTATTCTTTGTTATTTTGAAAATGTTATATTTTAGTGAATGAATGCTGTTTTATGCCACAATCAACAATATTTCTGTTACATCGCATCAGTTTCAATGTGTTTGTACAAAGGGAGACAATTTCCCTTCAGGTTCCAAGGGAGACAACTTACCTTCTGGAGCGAGATCATAACCAACAGAAATCACTGTGGCACCGGCTTTACACAATGGAGGAGCCATAAACCCAGACATTTCCAACCTAGCAAGTAAAAACCCTATATCTTCATGGTAATCTGAACAAGGGGACAATAAACACATCAAATAAAAGAGAAAGTATTTGGTACATGGCACTTATAATAATGTTCAGCACTTCGTTGAATGCTCTGTTTCATCATGTTCCTAAAGACATTTTCTCAAATGGAGTCTATCCTGTGGCATACAACTAGCCTTACAAAATTGGCGAAACATATTCTAATGCTTTTTGACACAGAGATTAATTGTGACATAAGAGTGTGTCACCCAATAGTTGCACATGATGCTGTGAATATTTTATCAATATTTGCAATAAATAGAAATCCAGGATATAGATCTGCAATCTGTAAATCAAACACACACGAGCAAAAATCCTTATCAACAAATAATTCATCTGAAAATGGAGCTGCTTTGTTTTGTTTTTTTCAGGGCTACCTACCCCAAATGCTGCCAGTATCCCCCATGGAGGTATACTAATACTGGCAGACCTGGAACAGACAGAAGCACGATGAGGACATTGCCTATGTTACACTCGCGTAACCTTGATTCGTGGATATATGGGAAGTGCGGCATAATTCATATTTTATATGCATGATTTCATTTTGTATACACACTGATTATTTTACTCATTGATTCAGCAAATTGAAAATGCCTAATATTCCACTTGTGAATGAAACGTTTGTTTACGGAAGCCATTTGCAATCATCACCCATTCGTGTGCCCACAAAATGTGACGTCACCTTGTTTCGTGGATTACGTAGTCAGTTACTTTATATCATTATGTACAACATTGCCTATGGTAATACTCAGGTCGCTCGTACAGCCACGGCAGTAAGTATTGACACCAAGGAAAGCAGACAACAAGAAGTGACAAGGTTGGAGGTAACAGAATCTTTTTTACTTGACATTTTGTAAAAATAAACTTTGGTAATGGTGGTATTAGTGATCTGGGGCTATTTATCTCAATGCTGGACAATTCTATTTAGTGTACTTGCGTGTAATGCAGAGATTCGGAACTTTTTTGTCAGTGAGGCGTGGCATTGTACCTACATCAAAAGTACCGCTTCGTGACGTCAGTCGAGACTTAATTTTCGGACTAGCATGATAATTTCCGCGATCCACGAAATCAAGGTTATCCAAGAATTTAGGATACGGTTCTGTATACAGAGTGTAGCATTTCATGCATCTGTGCAATGTAATTCATGTTCACAAGAAATAAATTCCTGGTGTCTTAATATGTTCCATCACAAAATTAAAGAAATACTTTCACCCTTTAGTTCCTGATAAGATATATGCTTCTCTTCAAAAGTTTAGACTCACTTTAGAAAAAGTAGGAAAATCTTAACGGAATAAGTCCTGATGTTCCCATCTTTACTGATTATGCTTGCAAATGATCGAAGGTATTGTAAAACAAGCTGTCAGATTCAAAAGATCATTAGCATGAGGTTACACAACGAATAAACGCAATGGCTTTTGTTTATTTTTTGAAAATTTCACCCCAAAACGTAGCTCAGCTTGCATGAACAATGCCGGAATTTTCTTTACTTTCTGGATGCCAGATCCATGTCGATACAATTCAAGTTAATTTTGTTATGATATGTTTCAAGGTACAGTCGAGCACTGTTGTCTCGATATTCATGGGACCAAGAAAAAATATCGAGTTATCCGAACTTCGAGACATCCGACCAGGGCATATCATCACATATCACTATGAAAGAAAAAAAAATGCTTCTCAGTATGTTTTGATTCGAAACTATAATCCGTTATCAGTAGTGTTTAGTTGTAACAGTGAGTACTTCCTAATTAATTCCTACTTAGTTACTCCTAATTAAATAACAAACAAGTGACACCTTTAACTCAATTAGCCTTAATTAGTTTACACTACCGCATCCCTTGGATTCATGCCGCACAGTGTGTAAACATGTGGAAACAACCTCAGTTCAGAGGGGTACTTGTCCATGAAAGGTAGGTGAATATCGAGTTTCTTTGCAAATATCGAAGTTAAAAGGGTAATTTTGCTTGTTTGGACCATGAAATTATATCGAGATATCCGAAATATCGAGACATCCGTATCGAGTTAAAAGAGCTTGAATAATGATAGATTATGAAGGATTTTGCCGGGACAGAGATGTTATATCGAGACAACCGTGATATTGAGTTATCAGAGTGCGACACAACGGTGCTCGACTGTATTGCTAAAAATCCATCTTTGCCACTTGAACTATTAACCTTTGAGATATAACAAACGATACATGTGAGTCTAAACTTTTGAAGAGAAGCACATATAGTTCAGTTATCTCAAATGACATTTCAAAATATGTCATTCTACAACAATTTAAAGTCTGATGGTTCCTTTAACAGCCAAAGAAATAAAATAAAATTTATGTAAGTACTTTTAATGACAATTAATCTGAATATTCTTTTCAAATGAGAGAACTGAATGCATGTTTAATGATTATTCTGTCAAAAAACAGATTAAACACATTTTAATAATGAATGTTCATTGAAAAACAGCCGGATTTTATGAAAATTGCAAACTTTGGGTAATTTTTTAAAATGTTAGTTTCATTAACAACTAAAACCAAAATATGCATGAGTACCCAACTTTTCTTTTTCACTTTTCAAATTGAATGTTTGATGCTGCACTCAGCAATATTCCAGCTGTTTGACAGGTCGCATTGATCAGTGCGTGTCACCCAATCCCGTTCATCACCTCTTACGACAAGCATGGGTTGCTGAAGATCAGTTCTAACCTGGATCCTCATGGGTTGTTTGATGTGAGCTTGTAATTATGATCATTGTGCAGAGGGCAAAGACTTACCATTTTTCTTGGCATTTTGGCATTAAAGATATCCAGTTTCTGTTTCTCTCCTGTTCCATAGGTGACGGCGCTGTCACATTCAAGGCACCAATGGGCAACCTTGGTCCCTGCAAGAAACAAGGTCAAACCTCAAGTGTTGTATAAACTGGAATTTGTCAAAATGTAATTTTTAGAGTAAAATTGATATTTTATACTTATCCTGACTCATGCTCTTTTGCTTGTCTTCTTCTTCTTGCGAACATAGTGGAACACTTGTATCTCCTTAATTGAAGCTCCCTTCAATGTAAAATCACTAATTAGTACTCACCAAGAGTTGCCTCCCTTTGCCTCTGCGCGGGAAAAGGTGGCGCCACCCTCTGGCCTCATGCTTCACTCTCTCCTGATTTTGCGAGCCCAACACTTGAATTTACAGGGAAATCCAAAGTGTTATGTGGGGAGGATGGGAGGCTTATCTCATGAGTCAGGATAAGTATAAAATATCAATTTTACTCTAAAAATTACATATTTTTCCTTATCCTGACTCATGCTCTTTTGCTTGTAGAATCCTACAGAAACGGAGGTGGGAAAGAACAGAATACTTTGGATTTATAAAATTAATTAGTGATTTATATATATATAACTGTAATAACCCCCTAACGGGAACTTCATAATGGCACTGACTTAGGATAATTCCTCTACTATAAACCATAAGTTTATACATTGCCATAGATGGGGTATTACAATAATAATATACTATGATAATAGCAATTCTAAGATGCCTAGCAGTTAGAACAATCGAAAAAAACAAACATTATCAGACAATAAAGGTATAGTTTTTTTGATGACGTAACAATTGAATGAACAGTTGTCATCGCCTCGTACGGCCTCCTACAGTAAACTACACCGTTGCATCCAGCTTCTTGGTAGGCTGTTGCTTCACGCAGCTAACATCACTGGTGGAAACATTACGTTTATGTTTTACGACGGTTAAAATGTGTCATTTTGACTCACAAGTTTTCAGTGACACGGTAACGTTCGTAATGTTTACATTCCCACAATGCAATTGTGGAATGTCGCTTGACTACTCAACTTCCTCTGGATGTACGGATCTAAACTTACGCTGGTAGTAGAAATGCAACGCTCATATAGCCCATATGGTTTACGCAATGACAGATGTAATTAAAATAATTCAGAGAAGATATTTAATCCGAACGTAAAACCGCCATCAAACTGTTATCATTTGTTTTTTCTGGTAACGTCGCCTTAACGTGAGGGGCAGACACATCAATAGAACAGCGCGCCAGTTAGCCCTGTACGAGGATTCTTAATTTAGGTCACCGACACCGTCGTTTGTTTTCTGCCTTAAATTAATCGTAATTATCTTTAGAAAGTATTAAATTTGGCATCTTAGAAAAGAAATACACTTCGCCCTACCACCATGTATAGTGTAATAAAACACACTTTTGCCCTGAACTATTATAGTTAAAGCACGAGGACGCTTGCGAAGTGTATTTCTTAAATAAAGATATAAAAGCGACTCCGAGAAGGAGAAGCTATACAACTGAACATAATCATCAGTATAAGCTTTAAAGCTGAGTAGACTTAAGCTAAGTATATATGTAGCCCTAAAACTCCGTAGAGTTATAAGCTGGATAATACTGGTATGAAATATACATAATAATCTCGTAAGACTATGTGTTAACGTCTACGAGGGACTGTCAACTGCTGTGCGAGGACCAAGGGACCGAAATGGTGAATACCTGAGACGTCCTCGGTGGTGATATCTCTCAGATAGTGATTAGCAAACACCAGGTTCGATTTCCAAAAGCATCCTTCCATGATTGTATTCAATGAACAGTTACCGTGTAGAGCGAGTGTGGAAGCCAATGCCCTGATCTCATGGGGATTTGATGCTGTTGGAGGGTCGAGTCCTGCTGCCTTGTAGGCTCGAAGTATGACAGTTCTTATCCATATAGATATGGTGTCTGAGTTGTTGCCGATAAGGGGATGAATAATCGTTTGAGAAATCGTCGCCTTGTTTTGGAACGTCGTAAGTAGATTTTGAGAGCTCTGACTGGGCATAGAGATAAGTCCAGTGTATCTTGAGATCCGAGAATCGAGGAGAGTGCAGGAATATGGAATAATCTGTCTGGTTGACCTGGCAATTGATTTTTGGCGATGAAATCCCATCTTAATCTCAGGTGCGCTGTGTTTTGATTGTCATCAAACTGTATCCTCTCATAATCTAGTGCATGAATTTCTGACATCCTGGCTGCCGTGGCTAGAGATAACAGGAAAAGCATTTCCTGTGAGAGAATTTCAAAAGTTGTCGATTCCAACGGTTCATAAGCCTCACTTGTGAGGTGTTGGAGCACTATATTCAGATCCCAAGCTGGGGCGTGGAATTTCCGCTTCTGATCCTCCAATCGGAAAGCACGTAGTAAGGCCAGTAACTCTGGCGTCTTGGTTAGCTTGACACCCGTTCTCATAGTTATCACAGAACTAAGCTCGGCAAGATATGTTGACAATGTCGAGCCTTTTAAATGTTTGTTTTGGCGAGGTAACACAAATAATCTGCCACTTGTGGATGTGTAGCTTCTCTCGCTGCAAATCCCTTTATTTGCTGCGTAATTTTCAAACTGTGCCACTTAAGTGTCGCCGCATTGCCACGGTAGAATAGCCGTAAGGCAAGCGTGACTGCTTTTGCCGCCTGGTTGAATAATTCCTCTTGTTTAAACACATTTTAATACAGTCCATAATGCGAAGTTGGAATACTTGTGGGCTTCCGTGCACCTGTTTGGTGTGTGGATGTACTAATAGATTCGAAGCTTTGGTAGCTCTAGTGTTGGTTGTCCGAGTTCTTGAATTAGAATGGGAAACCACGCTCTGGTTGGCCAGTAGGGCCACCAAAGTGAGTTGGAGGCTCTGTGTTTGTCTGATTTTCTGTAACACTTGAGGGATTATTGCTGGCGGCGGAAACGCTGCGACGCATTGAGGCCTTCCCAGGATATGCTTAGAGCGCCCGCTGCCCATGCTTGTGGGTCCGGGACTGGTGATAATGTAATGTCGGTAGCTGATTGTTGAAGCGCAGTGGCTTAATAGATCTACTAGCGGAGCTCCTATTTGCTTGATAATCTGTGCAAAAATCTCTGTATGGAGCATCCATTCTGTCGGTGACGGTAGATGTGGCCGAGAGTGCGCCTGCTAGTACATTCTTGGCTCCGGGATGTGACATGCTCTGACATGTAAGTTGAGATCGTCCGATTAGATCGAACAGTTGAAAGCTTAAAGTCAATAGGTTCAGTGATCTCGCTGAGCCTTGTTTGTTCACATAAAACGCCACTGTCGAAGTTGTCGGTATGAATCATCAGATGCGATTTTGTAGAATCGTGCTCCAATGAAGTATGGCGTTGATTACCGCTTTCATCTCTAACATGTTTATATGGAGTTTGCTTTCTTGCTGATTCCATAACCCTGAAGTCAGTCCGTTGGCGAGATGAGCTCCCAACCCTGGAGCGATGCTACACATATAGATGGGTTTTGAATTCCTGCTCTGTTAAACAAATACCTTCAGAGACATTCACCTCCTGGTCCACCATAGTAGATGAGGTCTGAGATGTTTCGCAGACTGAATGGTTGTAGGTCGCTGAGATGAGCATTGATGAAGACCTGTAACGGACGAACTGTATTCTGCCTCTGACTGTCATGTCTTGGGCTGACGTGAGGAGACCCAACAGACTCTGCCATTATCGTAGTGGAAACGGAGAGAGTAGGGCTAGAGGAATGGTCTGTTGGATCTTGAGCCATCGGTCTTCTGGCACGACGATACGGTTGAGAGTCGCGATAAATCAATGCCTAGAAATTGCAGATCTTGGCGATGGTACTAGGTCCGACTTGAGTAAGTTTACTAACCATCCTAGCTGTGTTAGTAGCTTTATGATGTAGTTTAACTGTAGTTTGAGACGCTGTGGATCTTGATCTACTTGTATCCCGTCGTCGAGGTAGAACGCACTCGCGCAGCCCTAGACGATGTAGATAGGTGACGATAGGTTTCGCTATCCTCGCGGAATAGCCAGGGGCTGATGATATTCAATGGGAGTACTTTCCATTGGTAATGCAGCCCGCCTAGTGTAAATCGTAGGTATTTCCTGGATTCGGGATGTATCGGACGCAGTAGATATGCGCTTGCAGATCTATACTGGCCATGTAATCCATGGGACTAATCAACTGTCGTGAACTGAGGTAGATGTATCATGCAAACTTTGGCGGTTTGCGAGATAAAGTCTGTTGAATATGCTCATGTTGTAAATGAGTCTGTATTTCTCCTTGGAGTTTTTCTTGGGTACTAGGAAAACTGGGGAGTAGAAGCCTGGTTCGACGCTTACTTGATCTAGTACTTCTATGGCCTGTTTGGTTAAGAGCCATGTAACAGCCTCTCTTAACTTTGGTAGTTGTTGTGCCTGGAAGTCGAACTTGTGAGGGTTGACTGTCAGCGAGGCGGCCTGTAGTGGGATACGATATCCGTGTTGAAGAATGTTGGAGACATAAGGGTCTTGTAACATTCCCCAGTTCTCCCAGTGTAGTTGAAGGTGTCCACCCACTTGTGATGGTTGTACTGGAACGGCTGGGGGTGGAAGACTCCAGTCGTTCTGAACCTGTCTTTCAACGTTTATAGTTGCGGGAACCTCTGGGTGCCCTGCCTCTTCCTGATCCTCCTCTATAGTTGCCATATGGGCTTAATTTAAAAGAATCTTTTCCCTGAGCTGGCCATCTTCCTATCCTGTGCTCTCTCTGTAATCCAGTGAATTTAGATCTCCCTGAATATCTTTGTGAAGTCTGCCTGATGACGCTGGCTAGCGCGTCCATCGACTTTAATCATAAGGACTTCTCTGGAATCCTTAGTGACTTCCTTGGAGACTTTCTCTATTCCTCCGTCCAAAGATGGATGGAGAGGACCACGGGCTGTATAGAGTGGAGCTGTAAACTGCTCACCCCAGCTGCAGGAAGCGAGGAGGCCTTGACGACGAAGCTAAGGTTAGCGCTGCTGAGACTGATGTGAGATGATCTGTTAGGAACTGCTGGTCCTTCTTTGCATCAGTAGGGCCGAGTAGATCATCCTATCATCTTCAGAAGTCGTGGTCACGAAAATCTGGTGATAAGAGTCTCATTGATCGCTCTAGATCTATTAAGGCCAAAGAACATGCGCCTCGCCATGGTTTCTATCTGCACCAGCTTGCGATCATCGCCAATCTTGTAGTTCTTATTCTTGACATCGCTGATCAGCTTGTAGTTGTCATCGATGTCTTGTGCCTTGAGGAAGGGGTCCATGTTATGAGTTGAAAACTTCTTAGCGGAAAGTTCGGTAGGTGTGGCGCCTGAACTTTCGTGGGCTTTATGGAAGGCTGTATCTAGATTCTGTGGTACCGCAGCAATCGGGTCGATCGGAGGTAAGGTGACGGCGCCTGCATCGCCCCTCCTTCATCAGGTAAGTAAGCCGAAGTTACCACTCTTGGAAGGTGAAGAAAGGTCTAGGTTGTTTACCATCCAATATCGTGATCTCAGCCGCCTGAGAAAATGATGCCTCCATCATCTTCTACCCCGGATCGCTGATGAGAGGTTGATGCTCTTCAGATGGTGGACTGTGTGCTTCTACCACTGTGCCGGGTGACGCTAGGGGAGACCTGACTGTGGACTTCTGTGCAGACCTGTGTGGTGACCTGCGAGGAGATCGACGTGGTGATGTACGAGGAGATCGGCGCGGTGAACGGCGAGGTGATCGGCATGGAGAATGGCGAGGGGATCGTCTTGGTGAACGTCCTGACGATCTGCGTCTATGGGTTGACCTTCGCGGAGATCTGTGAGGTGAATGTTGATAGCTTCGCGGAGCTCTTGTGGAGTCCCTCGATGTCCTTCTGGACGAAGATGATTTGGAGCCTGATAAAGGTGCCGCTTCCTCTTCCTCTGCGTCCGGTCCTGGGGAACGGCGACTTGACCTTTGCGGAGCTTCCTCTGCGTCCGGTCCTGGGGAACGGCGACTTGACCTTCGCGGAGGCTTCCGTGAAGTCTGGTGGTCTGAGTCCGCATCTAAGGATGAAGCCGAGGAAGGTGATGATCTATCCCGCCTTCGCGAAGGCCTTCGCGAAGGCTGTACATCTGGGTCCTTCGTCGAGGTGGTCTGTGACTTCCTTCGCGAAGGTGGCTTCGTCGTGGCCGCTACGTTGACGGGGGGTGCCTCTGGGGTGTCGTCTGCGTTGGAGCCTTCGCTAAGGCTCAGGCCCTGGGCTGGTTGTCTCTCCAGTCTGTAGTGGTCCTCCATCATGATCATGATTTTCCGCATCAGTTCATCTGGGACGGTCTGCGACGATGTAGTCGGTGCCCTCTCTGCGATGTTAGCGGCGGGGCCCTCAGGGAGATCGTCCGACATCGGTGTAGACACATCAGGCTGCATGGCGATCTCTGCTGACGCCACTGTAGCTGTCACCGTCGCTTCTTGTGGCGTAGGTCGGGATGATGATCGGCTGATCATCGAGAGGCCCAGTTCGGGCGGCTGGAACGATCTCGGCCGAGAAAGTTCTTGACGACTTCGTAGACTTCCCCTTGGAGGTAGACGCTGCCCTGGGGGTACGGAGTCTGCGTTGAGTAGACGTCGAGGCCCTCTTAGACTTTGGCTGCGATGACGGGATGTCTGGGGAGGCAGGACGCTTCTTGAGGCGGCGGACTGCATCCCACGCCCTCCGAGGGAAACTCTAGCGAACACCAGACGGGAGGGGGTCGACCAACAGCAGCTGACTGGCTAGGGTTCCGGCGTATCGCCATGTCTAACCCTTGTTTGCGGACTCTATCTGCTGCACGCCTCAAACGCAAAGATGATATTTATTAAAAGCAGAATTAGATAGATTAATGCAGTAACTGCAACGGAATCAAACGCACAAGGCGAGAACAACTAGGGCATATTACATGGTCAGCAGCAGAAAAACGTAATCTACAAATAGTACAGATTTTCATCAACGTAAAACTATCTGAACAATCACGAACTCCACGGAATAAACAGTAGAAATACCATTAATTATCAATACATATTAATGAAGGATATTAGCTATACCTCTATAGTAACCTATAGGAGGTAACTAACTAAGAATAACCAAAGGATATAGTGTGTAAGGAGACACAGGCGCTCTCACATCCTGCTCACTGGGCGAAGAAGGAGAGAGTGAAGCATGAGGCCAGAGGGTGGCGCCACCTTTTCCCACGCAGAGGCAAAGGGAGGCAACTCTTGGTGAGTACTAATTAGTGATTTTACATTGAAGGGAGCTTCAATTAAGGAGATACAAGTGTTCCACTATGTTCGCAAGAAGAAGAAGACAAGCAAATGAGCATGAGTCAGGATAAGGAAAAATAATACAATTAGTCGTATCAACTAGGCACTGTTTACTAAGATACAGACGCTTATTTGTTCGTCTGAGAAAAATCTAGAAAGACAAGTTGGATATATGACCAGCAATGTCTAACCCTGTTTGGGATGGACTAACCATTAACTCAAACTGCATCGTACCTGTGAAGATCAGGGTTGGACTGACTGACTGACAGAGTTTGGTTTTACGCCGCTTTTAGCAATATTCAAGCAACGACACGGCGGGGGACACCAGAAGTTGGCTTCACACATTGTACCCACCAGGTTGGAACTGGTCTTCAGCAACCCATGCTTGTCCTAAGAGGCAACTGACAGGATTGGGTGGTCAGACTCGCTGACTTGGTTGACACATGTCCTCGTATCAATTGCGTAGATTGCAGCTCATGCTGTTGATCGCTGGATTGTCTGGTCCAGACTCGATTCTTTACAGACTGCTATTTGAGCTTGAGTGAGTGAGTGAGTTTAGTTTTACGCTGCACTCGGGTATATTCCAGCTATATGGCATTACTGAAGATCAATTCCAACTTTGGATCTTCATGGGTATATATACAGAAGAAAGGGGATATCTACTTGTAGTTGTTGCAAATGATTTTTAATTTTATGCCACTTTTAGCAATATTCCAGCAATATCAGTGACGGCGGGGGACACCAGAATGTGCTTCACACATTAAACCCATGTGGGGAATTGAACCTGAGTTCTCAACTTGACGAGAGAATGCTTTAACCAGTAAGCTACCCCCACACCCCTTTGGCACATGAATCAGCTTTGTGTTTGATCTTACCCTCAGTGACAGATTTTAAATGTGCTTCAATGACCTCATCTGGCCCAAATCTGTGAGACCATCGGCTTGGAGAGTAGTGATAATCAAGCTCCTGGAACCAAAGAAACTCTATAATAATAATGATAATAATAATAATGCACTTGCAGGGCTCGATTTAGTGCTTTGTTACTTGCACTGGTGCAACCCAATATTACAAAATACAACCTAGCTATGAGTCTATCTTGCACAAGGTGCAAGTGAATTGTTGAGAAATAAATCAACAATAAATCTAACATATGCATAAATATGCCAGCCCATTTATCTTCTTAACTTTGAATAGCTCGGCTATGACAGCTGTTGTAAACAGGGATCAGCTGTGTCTCAGTGTTGCTATGGTTTCATGGATACTACATCACTGATTAAGGTTTATGTGCACCGAAACATTTTAACACACTAAGTTGCAACTGGAATTTGGCTGGTGCAACCAGGTCTTTATCTTATGTTGCACCTGGTGCAAGTAGGTTAACATCTCTTAAATCGAGCCCTGACTTGTATAGCATCTAATTTCCAACCGGTGGCTGCTCAGTGGTGCTTCACAAGGTTAAAAATAAGAATAAAATAAACAGAGTTATTGGTTGAAGAGATAGGTTTTCAAGTCACGGCGGAATGACTGGACAGAGTCCGCAGCTTTAATATATCTGTGTAGTGTTAGCGCCACAGTGAGCAATATTGGGGCAGCCTGTCAGTAATCAAATTTACATCACTGGACGACATTTACCATGCCTTTTGTTAAAAGAAAATGTATGTTTCTTTCTTGCACTGATTGAGCAGTTTTTCATTACTATCACAGCAAACCTGTGGCTGACAGGTCAAGCAGTGATCCATATTTCTCAGATATTTTTACACACAACTAATTATCGTCTGAGTAATGGTCATCTTGGTAGTCAGGATCGCTGACTTGGCTGAACCTCATTATTTTCCCTACTGCCTAGCCCTCCCTGCAATGCTTATGCCCTAAATGAAGCAAATCTAGATTTCCCCTGTTTCTGAATCTCCCAACTCACTGGGGCTCCTTGTCAATTTAAATGGGTTTATTTGTTACAACTAAAATTATATATATTCAGGGACTAAGTGTTAGTCAAGCACAACCACATAGACATTGATTATATTGTGATACTACCACACACTAATGCAGGGGTGGAAATAACCCATTGCCCGACGTCCGAGTCCAGTGTTTTTTTCTGTCGGGCAAGCAGATTCGTATATCACACTGTACCGGTGTCCAGTTGACTTTCCAACGTTAATTATGTTGCTTATTTAAAAAATCAACAAGAAAACGTCCAGTATAGTGGAAAAATTATCAGGGCAATTGATTTTACATGTGCCACTGTACCGGAGTAGACTAGCAATTTTAAACTTATTTCCACCCCTGTAATGTTCCATTTCCCAGCACACTGAAGCACAGTAGGCTGACACAGTAAACTGTTGTGACAGATTCCACAGATATACAACAAACTTGATGAGACAACTTAAATCAAAATAATTCATTCACTCACTGCTATGGGAACAAAGTGTGTCACAAGGGCTGTCTCAGTACCACTGTAGTCTGTGACATTGGAATAACCTCAGACATGAGGGGAGGAGAATTTGGGTTTAACTTCGTGCTTGAGAATATTTCGCTCACATGACGACGTGCATGTGTGTGTATGTGCGGCTGCTTGTACTAGCCCAGACTGAAGCTGGTTTTATAGTGCTACACCACTGAGATACCATGCCGCAGTGAAGCATGAATACCCCACTCAGACACATTATACTGACTCCGAGCTGACCAGTCCTTGTTGTACCCATTAATGTCGAGCACCAGGCAGGGACCAAAAAGTACCATATTTTAATGTCTTTTGGTATGACACGGTCGGGGACTGAACCCGGGACCTTCCGCTCACCGGGTGGACGCTCTAACCACTACACCACGGAGACGGTCCTCAGACATTGAGAGTCAGCACACTGAACACAGACCAGTAACTGTTTTGTGTGAACTATCCCAACACACAAATACTTACCTTTTCTGGAATGGCCATTTTCTGTGTTACCCTCATGTGTTTTGTGGTGAACTATCCCAACACACAAATACTTACCTTTTCTGGAATGGCCATTTTCTGTGTTACCCTGATGTATTCTAATCTTCACTAAACCTAACCGGACCTGAAACAAAATGCATCCATGCTGAACACTTATGTGAAAACAAACCAAAAGCAAATAAGATAATATTTGTTCAAATGGTTCAATGTTTCAACAAGCCATAGCCAAAACCCTATAAAAAACAGAAAGAAGTAAGGTTAAATTTTTCTTATGTACCTTGACCAATCTATTGTTGACCGAATAAAGGAAATATGGAAATACTACACAGTGTTACTAGAACACTTGCCAATACCGTGGAATCACCGGATGGCATTGAAAATACCACATAAAGCCAGCATCGTGTATTGATGTAGAGCTTTACACATGGACGAAGTCACTGAAATATAATACAAGAGGTCACGTGAAATGGGGTTTAACTGGTGTGGTGTCAATAGATATCATTAAAGCTGCATTAAACAATAATTGTATATTTTCCATGTTGGTTATTCTAAAAGATAGATTTCAATGTCTCCTCAGCATAAAATAAAACAATCTCTCAAGTCGGAAAAACAGAAAATAGTTACTTTTTAATTAATGCCAGACCAATTTTATTTCGTGTTTTACGGATCCGCTGTTAATTTTTTTTTCAAAAATATGAAAGAAAACAAAAATTAATCCCCCCCTCAAAAAATAAATGGGATATAGGCGAAATGGGAACAAGCCTATGGAACAGTTGCCCTCCATTGAAACACTTGTCTTTCCATGAAATAACATATCATTCATGACAGCAAAAGTTTAACACTGATTTTGTTTGATATGTGTCACAAAAACTTTTTCCTTTGAGTATATATGAATGTGGATTAACGTAATCTACATGTTTACCACCCATTTCTGTGACATAACTAAGGCCACATCAATTTTATTTCTTGTTTTACGGATCCGCCGGTTGTATTTTTTAAAGAATAAGAAAACAAAAAATAATTTTCCCGCTCAAAAATTAAAATCCTAATATTGATGTGATATAAGTGAAATACTCTTGAAATCAGTGTGAAACCTAAACTCACTCAACTTAATTTTAGTTGATATAAACAAACCAAAAGAGTTTGACTGGCGATTTTGTTCCCCCTCCTGCTAGGTTTTCTAAGAACAAAATCCATAAAACAAAAAATAAAATTAATCTCGCCTAGAGATTGATCATGATGACACTGAATTTTGAAGTAGTGTTACTTTTTAAGAAAGATGCTAACACATACACCGAGTAAACCATCAACCGTGTTGAACTCTGTCTGGTGTGGCAAGGTCTAACCGTATCTACTACCACCATTTCTACCCTGACGTGTTGAACTCAGTCTGGTGTGGCAAGGTCTAACCGTATCTACTACCACCATTTCTACCCTGACGTGTTGAACTCAGTCTGGTGTGGCAAGGTCTAACCGTATCTACTACCCCCATTTCTACCCTGACGTGTTGAACTCAGTCTGGTGTGGCAAAGATCTAACCGTATCTACTACCACCATTTCTACCCTGGCGTGTTGAACTCAGTCTGGTGTGGCAAGGTCTAACCGTATCTACTACCCCCATTTCTACCCTGACATGTTGAACTCAGTCTGGTGTGGCAAGGTCTAACCGTATCTACTACCACCATTTCTACCCTGACATGTTGAACTCAGTCTGGTGTGGCAAGGTCTAACCGTATCTACTACCACCATTTCTACCCTGACGTGTTGAACTCAGTCTGGTGTGGCAAGGTCTAACCGTATCTACTACCACCATTTCTACCCTGACATGTTGAACTCAGTCTGGTGTGGCAAGGTCTAACCGTATCTACTACCACCATTTCTACCCTGACGTGTTGAACTCAGTCTGGTGTGGCAAGGTCTAACCGTATCTACTACCACCATTTCTACCCTGACATGTTGAACTCAGTCTGGTGTGGCAAGGTCTAACCGTATCTACTACCACCATTTGTACCCAGACGTGTTGAACGGGATGTGTTGAATTCCTGGTAAACTCAGTTTAATAAGTTAAAACTCACACCACAACTTAATGCAAGAATGTGAATACGACAATACATGTAGATATGTAGATATGACAAAATGCCTCCGGTTATTTCCTATTGTATTAATGTTGCTTAAATAATGTATGCTGTTTCTTTGTTGTTTTACGCCGCACTCAGCAATATTTCAGCTATATGGTGGCGGTCTGTAAACAATCAAGTCTGGACCAGACAATCCAGGGATCAACAGTATGAGTATCATTCCATACAGTTGGGATACGATGACATGTTTCAACCAAGTCCAGCTATATATATTCCAGCTATATGACGGCGGTCTGTAAATAATCTGGATCAAACAATCTAGTGATCAACATCATGAGCATCGATCTACGCAATAGGGATACGATGACATGTGTCAACCAAGTCAGCGAGACTGACCACCTGATCTCGTTAGTCGCCTTTTACAAGCATAGGTTGCTGAGGGCCATTTCTACACCAGATCTTCACGAGTATGCAGAATATATTAACTTTGATGGTAATAACACCAAGCTCAATGTGTCAAACCACAGTTCAGTCAAGCTTTTTATCCCAAAGGGTCTGAGTGAGTGAGTGACTTTCATTTGACACCACTTAGGACAGTATTCCAGTTGTATCATAGGGGAGGTGGGTTAGCAAAAAGTAAAAGCATTCGCGCGTCACAACGAACACCCGGGTACAATGCTCCACATGGGTACAATGTGTTAAGCCCATTTCTGGTGTCGACCCACCATGATATTAATGGAATATTGAAAGGAAAAATGGCATAAAACTAAACTCACTCATTTGTACTATGGTGTGCCATTTTAACCTGAGAAAAGAGCCTGAACTGTTGCAGGCCTCAAATGTTTACTGCTTTTTTTAAACCCAACAGAAATCACTGACATACCTAGAAACCAATTCAGGGTGAATCTCAAACACACAATCATCGGTTTCTGGTATGTCAAAGGGAGACAACTCTCCACAGCTAGAAGTGACAACTCAGACGAGATGCCGGCTGATACCCATCATGGCTGTACTAGACAATAGGGATCGGCTGTCCACAGAAACAACATTTGTTCATTTTTCAGTTGATCAAATATCAAACTGTTTATCACTTACTAAATGTAACAGCAGTCTGTGAATGATGATATTGATTGAAAGTATAGTGTGCAAGTGAAGCGTTATTCCACTTGGAATGATCATATATGGGTTACCATGGATACTGTTTTCAGTATCCACAGCATGAATTTGTTTTGAAGATGAACATAATTGTTGTGAATTCAATTGTGTCAGAGTTTGACAGATTTACCAGTTAAGACAGAGTGAGTGAGCTGGGTTTTATGTCACTTTTAGCAATGTTCCAGCAATATCATGGCTGAGGACACCAGAAATGGGCTTCAGATATTGTCCCCAAGGGAATCAAACACAAGCCTTCGGCGTGACGTGCAACACTTCAACAACAGTAACCCCACAATCCCAGTTCAGATAGGGGTGATTGGAGTAGCCTAGTGGTTACAGCGTTGGCTCGTCACGCCGACCCGGTTCAATCCCACATGGGTACAATGCGTGAAGCCATTTCTGTGTCCCCTGACGGATATTGCTGGAATATTGCTAAAGCGGCATGAAAACCAAACTCAATCAGTCAGTCGGTCAGTTCACACAGAAACACCAGAATCTACATATTCACAATCCATTTTACAAAACTCATACATTTTCTGTTCAGTTATGTTTTTCCTCAAAGAACATGCCATCTTTATGAAATTTGGTACATAGAAGGCATAATAAACTTTAAACAAACATCTTTCCTTCAATATGTGGCTTTATCAGTCCATACATAAAATCATTAAGTGTCAGTGTGTGGGTGGGTGTGTGTGCGCACACATTTGTTTGGTGTGTCTATCTGTCTTTGTGTGTCTGTACCTGTGAGGGATTGGGGGAGGTGTCTATGTTGCTATGACAATATAAACAGTGACCTTCCCCCAATGCTTGTCATATACTAGTATTCAATAAATACCCAGTACCTTAATGAGTCCAGTGTTCATTCAAGGGCTTTTACAAGTGAGCCCATGGCCCACCAGCCCTCAGTTATGTGGGTCATTTAGAAAATATTGTGGGTCATATCAAATTGCTGTGACTTTTTAGCCATACACTACTCATTACTAGTATGGGTTCACTTCCTTTTTTAAACTTTCAATCCAGGCGAGGTCAACAAGAGCAACCAAAGACATACTTGAGTTTTGCTTGAGTTGCCAAGGGAAAACAAACTCGTGATGCGTTTCAGAATTACCTTTAGGGATGCGCCAGCACGCCCAGCCCGTACCTGTACAGTGCACCATGTTAAATGTTAGTGTGCAAATGACGCAAGGGCATGGCCTAGAATGAACGTTGTGAGTCTATTTCTCGTATTACCTGACTTAAGCTAAATATTTAAATAACAAACCTTGTCACAACCATCTAAAAAGTTCCTATTTCAGTCTGGGACAGTCACATATTATATTTGATTGTGTCACCTAAACAGATGTAGTCATAGTGTATGAGGTAAAGAGAGGTAATACAATTATTGGGTCCAGCTGACTAGATGCGTGCAGGGTACTATAGTCTGTTTGACTTCATTTTGGACCGGGCCGGTGGGGTAGCCTAGTGGTTAAAGCGTTGGCTCGTCACGCTGAAGGCCTGGGTTCGATTCCCCACATGGGCACAATGTGTTAAGCCCATTTCTGGTGTCCCCCGCCGTGATATTGCTGGAATATTGCTAAAAGCGGCGTAAAACTAAACTCAGTCAGTCATTTGAATTTTTTTGGTTGCAAAATTATGTGTAGGCAATTGCCTTTTGCCTATATGGCAGCTCGTCCCTGTCTGCATCATAAATCAATATGAGTTATCGGGATCAACCCTGAGATCGGTATTCGTCAATGGCTGCACAAATCTCAACTCAGGATGACATATATTTACAAATTCCTTTCAAAATAGTAGAACCAGTTACATCACTATTTATCTTGTGTGGGGGGTACAATGTGTGAGGCCCATATCTGGTTCCCCAGCCGTGATATTGCTGGAATATTGCTAAAAAGCTTCGCGTAAAACTAAACTCACTTACTGATGTTATGGCTTGTGGATGTATTAACTGTTATAGTCCGTTTGACATCATTTGAGACCCGATGAATTGTTCACTAACACAAAATCTAATAATTGCAACAAAACCAAATTTTGAACAGTCACATGAAATCGACAGACCAACTCTGAGGATTTGTCTCATTATTTTGGACACCCGAATAAAAAAGTTGTTTAACAAACGATAACTATTTTGTTGTCACTTTTCACAAAAAAAGTAAATCAAATAAAGTGAAATAAAGATTGAGAATCCTCATAATTTTACCTTGCCAAATGAACATTTGAATCTCAGAATTTTATTCATCTTAGGATAAAAGTTGTTTAACAAACGATCATAGATTCAAATCACAATTATTGGTTTGTATTACAAGGGGTTAAGCGCAGTATTTGGAACACTGAAACACTGCGGTACGTGATGAGTGTTAACTTAGACCAACCCTACTTGTTCTCGGTGTTTCATTTGATATGCATACACCCTTGTAATACAAACAAATAATAACGATTTGAATCTATGATCGTTTGTTAAACAACTTTTATCCTAAGTTTAATAAAATTCGGATATTTAAATGTTCAGTTGGCAAGGTAAAATTATGAGGATTCGCAATCTTAATTTCACTTTATTCGATTTACTTTCTTGTATAAAGTGAAATTCATCGGTACGTTTTCACTGCAAACAGACTATAGTATAGATTTATCGGAACGTATACCCTGGAGATTATCAAGGATGTGTCAATATAAGTACTTAAAGTAGAATATGGTCAACACACATATCATATGAGCATTGTGTAGGAAACTTTCATTGTATAATAATCAATCATTTCCACATTTATAAGTATTTTGATAATGTCAGTGATTAGCCCTGGCTAATTAATCTTGAGTTCGACATTTAAAGTACATTTCCATGACAATGTGATGGCGCATTTGTTTATTAGCTTCGATCAAGTTATAAACTTAGGCGTACAATGTTGATAATGCTGTTGTACACAGCTGGAAGTGTGGGGACTTGGCATTCAGATGTACATCCTCCACATCTGTAATTTAAGCTGAAGGGGTCGTTGTCGGCACAGGTACTACAGATATGTACCCCAGGTACGTTTCTGTATACAGATATGTACCCTAAACAAAGTCAAAATACAGAAACGTACCCAGTACCCTAAAAACCGGACGAGTCCATATTCCGTGATCCAAAACCGAAACTGTACGTAGTTGTTCCCATTCAACTGATTGCGAGTGGTATTCATATGCATCGCGAAATATCCGTTACTTTTTAACTGTGTATTCTCATTACTTACATAAGGCAATCAAATGTATCTAATACAACAGCATGGCAGTTCCGATCAAGAATACGACACAATGTGAATGGAATCGTCCTAGGGTACGTTTCTGTATTCTCATTATGGCCAGGGTACGTTTACAGAAACGTACCTGGGGTACATATCTGTAGTACCCGTGCCGACAACGACCCCTTCAGCGTAATTTAATGTGGTCCAGCTTTTATTTGTAGCATACAAAGCTAGTGTGTAATTGTGCCATTGTACTATATTTCTCCATCAGTGATTTATCTAATGATGCACAGTTGTTAGAACTGGTATCAAACTCATTCAAAGTAACCATCTTCGTATAACGGAAAACTGTACATATGTACAGTACACTTCTAAATAAGAGTAGTAATTATGTGGTATGTATATTTAAGTCTGCAAGTCAGATGAATTAATGTTATTTCTTATTTCTTACACAGCCATAAAATGTTTTCGTTATTATTTATTTCATGATGTAAACACCCAACTTGTCACAAGAAACATTATTCACGCGTGGCCGACTTGACCTTATTCAGCGAAACAGGTAACATGGCAGATTTTTCAGAGAATCTATGAAGTGAGAATTCGAAACAAATAAAGCGTAACAGAATTGAAAACATATGACCCATGTAAACTTTCAGCAAACTATGCGCACGCACTTCGCACTTCCGATTACGTAATACTCATATAAACACGGCCCAAAGAGCACGATCGATGTGTCGCTCATCGCGCGATAAACTCCCGCTCTTGGGTCTAGGTACAAGTTGGTGACGCACTCAACACTGCACGGAAATACTACGGGTCGACCATATCTCCGTGCATATGCGGTTATCTCGTGTAATGGAGTAAATCGAATCAGATGGCGGTATGCATACTTACACGTTAGCTGATTTCACCTGGCTGTCATGACTGTGACGTCACAAGCGGAAACGTACGGAAACTGCCTGACAGTGACTTTCTCGATTGTAAATGGACTGGGCGCCTGCCTATATTTCACATGTGTACAGTAAGCTGCGTTCTGTCCCCGCTTGACAAGAGTGGAATTCCAGTTTAAATTTATTTACGTCCAGTATGTATACTGTAGGTATAACCAATCGAAATTCTGTGCACAGGCGTGCAATCAATTTTGTGATACACATGTAATTAGATATTAGTTACGCTACAGACGAGCTAGTGTGGCGATTAAAAACGGGAAACGTGGTAAGATAGTAAATAGAGATTATTACACGAGCAAGTATGTCATAAAGTGTGATAATAAATAGAGGATATTATACCATATGTTTACGACACAAGTGCCTAAATGTTGTTTTTTCCCTGGTGAGAGCGAGGGATATTCCAGTAGACACGAGTGTTGGAAATATAGTATGATCTGGGCACGAATATGATATTCTGTTTATTACCGAAGTCGTCACAGAAGAATCGTCACAGAAGAAACGTGACGTCATAGCATTGTTTATGACGTCACGTCACCATGACAAAGTAATATTTCACCCTAGGGCATCGTATGAAAAAATATGGACCCCGATATTTTCGCCTTCGTAGGTAATACAATTCATTATTATCCATATGGTGAAACATAACCAGTGTCATATATATCATATGTGGACATGTGCACATATCACTTTTGCCTAGCAACCTTTGTTTCTGTATTTCGTCGTCTGTGACGTCATTTAACAATTGAACGTGACGTCAATGAAGTGGGCCGTCACACTTGCTTACCGTGTTTTATTGCACAAATGTACATGAATAAAATGGTTTATAAAGAAATTATCACACTCGAGCAAGTGTTTCACACGACTTATATGAAACTCGTGCAAAATTATGTATTGCCCGAGCGAGGGCGTGTGCAATACACAATTTCACACTCGTTTTCGTGTAAGTCGTATGACACACTTTGTTTGTGTAATAATCTCTATTTATTAAAATAATACATATACATATGTAATTCATTATTACCAGGACACCAGAAATAGGCTTCAGACATTGTACCTGGTCCCATGTGGGGATTCTGACCCGGGTATTCAACGTGACGAGCGAACGTTGTGACCTCCGGGCTGCCCAACCGGCCCTACATAGACATTAGCAGAAACGGGAACAATTAACACCGGGTGTGCACGAATTCTGCCATACTGACAACCAGTCTCATTTCTGGCCACCATCGTCACGCCGAAGACCCGGGTTCGAATCCCCACATGGGTACAATTTGTGAAGCCCATTTCTGGTGTCCCCCGCCGTGATGTTGCTGGAATATTGCTAAAAGCGGCGTAAAACCAAATTCAGTCAGTCAGTCTGGCCACCATTGTTCTTGTCTGGAGAAGACGTGGTATGGAACGCGATTGTTTCTCCTTACCTTTTGTAATGTCAAGGTCAACGTTATAACGTTATACGACGTGATCTTCGTTCAAATTCGTGCCACGCGTGCTTGATGGGGTAGACACATGTTAAACAGCGAATCAGTCTATCACATTGCTGTCTGCTTGTAGTAGTAATGTTTGAGTGGTTATTGCGGAATGGGGTCGAGCGTAGCTCGTTTCACTTTCAAGCTGCACGCGGTCCTGGGCGTAAATCAGAATGTGTTAAGCAACGTTGTCCACGGAGAGTAAGTGGATAGGTGCAGCTGAGCACAACTTGACTCCTGAGAGTTTCTGGGGCCACGGTCCTTCCCCGCACCGATACATAAGTGCAAGTGACTTTGAACTACGCAAAGCGGTGAATGGGTGCCGGTAGGAAAAATGAGATGGTGATGTGGCTGCTAACCTTTGGAGCGCATCATCAGCAGCAGGTTGTGTGTTTCGTAGGAACCAGACCCGTGAAGATCTGAGTTGAGAACTGATCTTCAGTAACCCATGCTTTCGTAAGGGGCGGCTAACGTTACAGGATCGGGTGGTCAGGATCGCTGACTTGGTTGACACATGTCATCGTATCCCAGTTGCGTAGATCGATGTTCATCCTTTTGATCACCGGACTGTTTGGTCCAGACTCGATTATTTACAGACCGCTGCCATATAGCTGGAATATTGCTGAGTGCGGCGTAAAACAACTATCAGCCAATCAATCAATCGTAGGGAATCGATCCATGGTAATGATTTTGTTAGCGCTTTGAACAGTTATTCCTGTATTATTATAGCTCACATGCCGCTCTTTTTCCTATCATTTAGATATATCACCAGATGAACTTACCGCGTCAGCTGAAATGTTTCACAATACAGTCGTATTGGCA